TTGGGAAAACCTGCAGTCAGCTGAGACTGAAGTCACCTGGATGAGTGACGAAACGTTTCTCCCACCGAGATGAACAGAATCAACCTTTGGGAATAACGAAGGTTTAACACAGTATAAATGTTTTAAATATATGAATGTTTTTGGATGGATTTTAATAAATGTTCTTTATGTGTTTTGATGTAAACTGTCATCATTTTCTTCAATAAGGGCTTTTTTTTAAGAAAAAAAAAGAAAAAGACACAGGCTCAAAGTGTTTAAAATACGAGTCTGTAACAGCTGTCAGACTCTCTTAGAGAAATACTTTGTTTTTGCTGCTTTTGACAATTTAACAAAGATTCTCTAAGTACATCGACTCCCAGAGTCCATCCTTTTATATTTTCATTAAGCTTTTTTCACACCTGTCTGAGTTCTCTGGTGGTTGTGAGAGGAGCATCAGGTTTGACAGACAGACATGAAAGAGGAATCTCCAATATTACAGACATGTGTCAGAGAGATTAACAGATTTCAGTGTCACAGAGAGTCAGGACAGCAGACAGCACAAGATCCAGAGGATGTCCACATTTGTGTGAAGCAGTTTTTATCAACTGTGGCTAAACCACTACCCCGGCCGCCTGTCTGAGGAGAGTTGAGCTAGTTACAGTCTGGAGGGACAAGTTCAGAGAACAGGCCCAAGTTTCGGTCACCAGAAGAAAATCCAGGTGTGGAGAGGTGAGGAAGTCGTTTAGAATAAAGGTTTTATTTGCTAGTGACCTAGCATTAACCAGACCCAGCCTGTCAAAAACAGGGTTCATGTCTGGCTGGGATGCACGATTGATGGGATAAAGAATCTGGTGATCAGAATCAAATTGCTTTATTAAACAAAGCACGCTGTGTGTAGTTGCTGCTCCTCAGGAAAAGTTTCACTTTTTGTTCATTGGAGAACAAAACTTCTCTCAACCCACGTTTGAGAGAAAACTATTCAAACAAACTAACACTCTGTAAATAAGGAGAAAAAAGCTGAAGCAACTGAACATGCTGCATGGCAGTTGAGATATGTGCACTAAAGACTCCACCTCTGTGAAGATGGGGCGATAGATGCCATGAGAGCTGGACAGTAAGACGCAGAAGCACAGGTGTGGTCCATTGGTGAGTCAGTTCCAGGGATCGCCAAACCAGACATCAACCAGGATCAGACAACCCGAGGTCCAGGGAAAGTTTGTTCAGAAGAACAAGATCGGAGACGCAGCCATGCAGTTTTTAAACACACTGCTCCGTTTCCCCCGTCTCCTGTGGCATTTCTTCCTGGGAGGAAGGAAAGGTGGGCCTTGGTGAAGGAGGATTGGTGCGCTCTACAGACAGGTGGGATACAATACTCCTGACATCCTGGGACCAGTCGGTCTTCAACAGTGGCTCTGATGCTGATGAAGTCATAAACCAGGAGAGTGGAGACATTTTTTTAAGAGAACAGATGTCAATAAAGCAATCACAAACAGAGCAGGTAAGCCACACCCACCGGCGCCATCTATCCAGCATCCAGCAGATATCAAGAAATCCTCCAAATAGCTGGAATAAGCTGACTGAAAGAGGATGGCTGTAGTGATAGATGTAGCTTTACTGAGTGATGAAGAAAGAACACGAGAACCTCGAGAAATATCAAGGGCTGAGAGAGAAATTCAAGAAGATGTGGAGGGTGGAGAAAACAATGGTCCCTGTGGTAATCAGAGCACTCGGGGCAAAGACCCCCAAGCTGAGCTAGTGCCTCCAGCCGATCCCAGAAACATCATCCCAGATCTCTGTCCACACAGTCCTCAGGACCCTCGAGCTCTCGGTCCTCTAGTAGAGGAAGTGCAGCCAACGCTGATTCTCCTACTATGTTATAATTACACTTAACCAACATAAACATTTAACAGATTTTAACAGAAAGAAACTTTCAGCACAACCAAGCAAGAGATTAATAATAACTAATGATTAAATGCACCGTGGGGTATAAACACATAATTAGTAAAAAGGTGGGAGAGGAAAAAACACAGGAGCCTACATCTATTACAGTGAATTTATGGGAGGATTCAGGGTTACCTGATCCAGCTCTCACTATATGCTTTATAAAAAACAAACATTTTAAGCCCAATATTGAATGTTTTGTGGTTTTGAAAGCCTGAGGTGGATTCTCACAGCTGCTCAAGCTGCTCCGAACACCAGACGAGGTGTCTGTTTGGGAAATCCAAACTGGAAGCTGGTTCCACAGAAGAGGGGCCTGAAAGCAACTCTCTGCCTCCCATTCTACTTGCAAATAAGAGGTCTATTGGAGTGATATGGTACTACGAGATATATATTGAAAGGTAGATCGTACAATAATAGATACAGAGAAAAACCCAACAATCATATGACCCCCTATGACATAGGTGTCAAACTCTGGCCCGCTAATATATATATTGTTTAGTATTAAAAAGCTTTGCTTGTTCCATATTCAGTTTTTCAGCAAAATGTGTTTGAGTCCATAAGAAAAGATTCAGTCTTATATCTGGAGGAATAAATATATTTCAATAAATATTAACGTTAGCCTGTGACTTTGTTCCAGTTTTGAATTTTGGCCCACTGTGTATTTGAGTTTGACACCCCTGCCCTATGAGCAGCACTTTGGCGACAGCAGGAAGGAAAAACTCCCTTTTAACAGGAAGAAACCTCCGGCAGAACCAGGCTCAGGGAGGGGCGGGGCCATCTGCTGCGACCAGTTGGGGTGAGAGAAGGAAGACAGGATAAAAGACATGCTGTGGAAGAGAGACAGAGATTAATAACAAGTATGATTCAGTGCAGAGAGGTCTGTTAACACATAGTGAGTGAGTGCATCATGGGAATCCCCCGGCAGCCTACGTCTATTGCAGCATAACTAAGGGAGGATTCAGGGTCACCTGGTCCAGCCCTAACTATATGCTTTAGCAAAAAGGAAAGTTTGAAGCCTAATCTTAAAAGTAGAGATAGTGTCTGTCTCCCGAATCCAAACTGGAAGCTGGTTCCACAGAAGAGGGGCCTGAAAACTGAAGGCTCTCCCTCCCATTCTACTTTTAAATACTCTAGGAACAACAAGTAGGCCTGCAGAGCGAGAGCGAAGTGCTCTAATAGGGTGATATGGTACTACAAGGTCATTAAGATAAGATGGGGCCTGATTATTGAATTCAATTCTGGATTTAACAGGAAGCCAGTGAAGGGAAGCCAAAACAGGAGAAATCTGCTCTCTCTTTCTAGTCCCTGTCAGGACTCTTGCTGCAGCATTTTGGATTAGCTGAAGGCTTTTCAGGGAGTTTTTAGGACTTCCTGATAATAATGAATTACAGTCGTCCAGCCTGGAAGTAATAAATGCATGAACTAGAATAGGTGAGAATAAGGAAGAGAACTTCTATGTTAGAACTTTGTTTTTCTAAAACCAACAACAGCACAAGCATGACTGGCCCACAGACAAGCTGTAGCACATATATTTTGCACTGCCTCCATTTGACCACATAGCTCTCTGCAGCAGACAGGCAGTCCCTCGTCTGCCTGCAGACTACAAATATCTCTGCAGGACCACAAGTCCACTTTTCTCCTCTCTCTGTCCATTTGTCAAAGTTGGGCAGTATTTCACAAAAGACTCAAACCTCTTGTGACCCTTACTGTCCTACATGATGTGCCAGGCCATGGGCACTCTTCAACAGATACACCTCGTTCTCAAATGAAAAAAGTGTCAATGAGAGATTAACTTGAGAAGGAGATGTACAGCTAGTGTCAACCCACAGAGCACCAGAAATACAGTAGTGTTGTATGCGTCATATGCGTCATATGCGTACCAACGCTGTGGCAGAAAGCAGTTTTGTGGTTTTGACAGCCTGGGTGAGATGCATTCAGCTGGCATAAAGCTGCTCTGTACACCAGACCAGACATATTGTGTTGTGCACAACAAAGATAAATGGTCCCGCGTTATTTAACACGGGACCAACAGAAGCCAAACTATCAAAAGCGGTCATGGTTAGGAAACTACTGAGGTCCCAGGTGGTGCTAGTCACAGCTTTATCACAATGATATATATCAACTTTTTTATTTTTACACATCTATTGCAAAAAAATATGTCAGTGTTATTATTTATGTGATGCATTACTCTTATTTTGGATTACTTGATGCAAAACTTTCAATACTGTTCTTCTTCTGCTCCGTGACTATGCAAAGGTCCCACTTTGTGATGTTTGCAGGCACAAAGTATCACAACCTTAGTGAAGACACACACACACACAGAGAAATGGAAAAAAATCACCTTCTTAAAGTGTACTTTGAAGCTGAGTTAGCACGAGTCAACACATAAGCACAGCTCAGAAAGGCATTAAAAATAACACCAGAGCACCAAAGCATCCACTCCGGGTTGAGAGAGCAGTACACCAAGAGCAGACTGACTAACCTGAGCAGCGCCTGGACTACAACAAAGCCTCAAGTTTCAATTTATTTATACATCGACAAGTCACAACAACAGTTGTCAGTTAATGCAGATCAATGCTCCACACATGGATGTGCTTGGCACTGTACAACACTAATAACATACATTAGGAACTCAGTGAGACTGTGGAAGGAAACACTGGAGGCGTGAACTGCAAGGCAATTC